AGTGCTGCAAATTAGCACCATTCAAAAAACTGGCCATAGCCAAAAATGGTGGACAAAAACTGTCTAGTTTCCCAGTGAAGCTGAAGGGGACACGTACTCTTTGTCAGTTCCTTCAGTGAAGATACTTATTCTTAAGAACACTAAGTTATATTATGCTCAGATCTGGAGCTTTTTTGTTGTTGTTTGTTTAAATAAGTAACGTCTTTAAATTTGCAGATTAACTTTTGAAGGCTAAAATGATAAATACAAGCAAAAAAAGGTCGTGTCCATTAACCATGAAGGATGTCCTCCAGCAATCTTTGCCCGTAGTTCTGCACAGGGGAAAGGTGCTGTGTTCCTGCAAACCCTCACTGCCCTGGGATGGGGGATTTAAATTGGCGTAGGATCTTGCGAGAGAATTAGCCTTTTCTGTCAGAGTTGTTAACAATCTGCTGCCCTTTTCTCTCTAGCACCAAAGACTGGCAACTGTTTGTCTCTCTTGGTTTTGTTTTGTTTTGGTTTGTTGCTGGTGGTGTTTTTTTTGAGGGGGGAGCACTTCCTCCCACTTCCCATTCAGGATGTAGACAGCAGCAGTCTGAACTTTTTTTTCAGTATCTGTCATGTGTTATCTGCTACAGTACAGACCAGGCATTGAGGTTGGACGGCAGAACATGTAATGTGTAACGTCTGAAGACCACTGATTTTCTGGTCTCAAAAGCATATTGCAGCTATTACTGTTGACTGTATTCTGCAGATTGTGAAGCTAAGCCGTAGTATAGGATGGCAAGATCTTTTTTATTGTCTTCAGTTGCCTGTGTTTTTTAACTTGTCTGCCCCTCCTCCTCCTCCTTCAAATCCCTCTCTTCTAGAAACAAAGGCTTGTTTGTTCGTTCTCTGCCTGTGAGGTCTTTGCAGCCTCCGCTGTGTGGGTGCAGAGCCCCTTATTTAAATGCTTTCCATAGCCATGGAAGGTAAGGAACAGGAGGCATTAGAAAACTGGTAAGTCTTAACCCTAATAGATAACTAAGGGATTTTTGTGTTTGAATTGAAAACACTTTAAAAGAGCCGTGCACATCAGGATCATCACAAACCCATGAGGTGTGGAAAAAAAAAGTGCTTATCTGAGATCACATTGATAAGTATATTCATTAGAGTGCAGATTTTGGCAGTCATGTCTTCAGTGAGTAATGGAGAATTGAGAATTTAAAAAAACCAAACCACAAACCCAACCAAACCACAAAACAACCCAAACCCAGAACAAACAAAAAACACCAAACCAACAAAGAAAACACGTTTAAAATCCTCTATTTTTTCCTGTCACTTGAAATACGACGTATTTTCACTCTTCTCATTAAATACTGTCTTGGAAATTACAGAATACTGCATTCTTCTTTCTGCTTCTGTTGAAGATGGAACACTTGTGTAATCAGCCAAGATGTCTGAAAATCATTCAGTGTTATTAATGTTGGGTTTTTTCCACTGCTTCTTCACTTGGCTATGTTGTTAAATCAGTAAAATTCAGTTAGAAGTATCTTCTTTTAATATCCAAGCTTTTAGTTGAATTTCACAATTAAAAATAGTTGCCTTACATGCAGACTTCTTTGTGATCTGCTCTGAGGACAGTTTAAAATCTTGTCGATTTGAAGTCTTCTGTATTTGCATTCTTGGAATAATGAAGTGCTCAGAAAATCCTTCTAATGGATATGTGAATAAGAATTTAGAAACTATATTTTTAGGTTTAGTTTCTGAAGAGTTGCCAAAGCATATAATTCAATTTTCCCCTAATACTTATTGAAGAATATTAAGTATACACTGAAGTCTTAATACCTTGTGATTTTCCTGTTCGAGATACACTTTTAGTTGGCGAGATTGCTTTTAGAGTGGATATTAAAAGGCATTTTGTGGATCTAGGGTGAGGGAATGAAACGAGAAACATGAGGCAAACGTGATTTATTTCTTACAGTTTTACTTGCAAAGTCAGAAGATAGGAAGGCTGGAACAAGCTGATTAGAATGAACATGAATAACACAAGCAGCTGTCAAAGATACAGCTATATAAATTATGAAGAATTTGGCATGAAGAGGAAATAACTTCCAAAGCTGCGTATTAGTGGAAAAGAGACCTGGAGATGCAATACTTGTATGATGCTTGCAGGAAAAAACATGTTGAAGGAGTGTTAGTGATATTGCACTTAAGTGTTTAACTCGAATTAGAAACTGTTAAATTTTTATGAGGTTATCTGTAAGATGACTTTGCTGTGAACTGCATGAGACAGGGACTCCGAATCAATGCTGTGATATAATTGGAGACTAGACTGTAAAGGCAGCCTATTTAACCAATTGAAAATTGACATTCTTCAGATTTGGGTACTGAATTTTACAAGCTAGGTAGTTTGCTTTTAGCTTAGATGTGGTTCTTCCAGTTGATGGTAATTTTCTAACCCTTGTCCCTCTTTGCTTTTTACTGTAATTGACCTTCCATCTTATTTAATAACAGGGTTTGAATTCTGGAACTTCTGAAGAACATCACAAACTTCTGTTTGAGTTGCAGAATTAGCTTCTAGCTAGAACGGGCTCATGTTTTCTGTTGTCCCCTACTAACCCCTTCATTGTCTGCTTTTAAGGTGAAAGAGGGCAAGATACAAAAAGCAGAAGGCATGGTGCTAATTCCAAACTTGGTGGGATTCTGGGTAAAAAGAGAGAAAGGAGGAGATACATTCCCCACTCCAGCAGTGTCTAGAGCTACTAGGTGGGCTGCCTTTCTTTTTGCTCTGCTCTCTCTAGCTTTGACTTTGCCCTAATTTGATAAACATAGGTACTCTAGTTGTTGTCTGTCTCCCAGCTGAGTGCCCAGTGGAGGTCCTGGAACTTGTAATTAGAGTTCACTGCTCATGTCCTTGCATAACAGCTGTAGGTGCTGTTGAAACTTCTGCTTAACAGTTTCTGGAGCGTGTCATATGAACCTTCTGCGTCTGTTCAGCAGAAGAATGAGCTGTCCTTTCTTCCTGTCGCTGGCCTAGGAACCCCAGTTCATGTCACAAAGCTGGTGGATTGTCCCATCCTGGTCACCTTCTTCCTGAAGTTCAGTTTTGATGGTGAAGTGGTGCTGGATGTCTCTTTAAGATCAATCACTTGATTTTAAGCTTTAAATCACAGCAACATCTTCCCACTATTTTTTTTTCCCCTGCTGGGTCAGGTTGAGACTTGTCGGTTGGAGTTGAACCTCCGGCCCTTTGTACTCACTCTTTTATCTCTACTTGATACTGGGATTCAGTTTCTATTCCTTCTTCATCTGTTCACTTACCGTTACAGGAAGTTTTATTGTATTTGTTATCATATACATGAAGTTCTCTTACAAGTAACTACATAAAAGTTTTTTTTCAAGCTGTTTGACACTTAATTTTATTTTGATTTGACTTACAAATTTATGACCAACCTGTCCATTAGACTATTGACTCTGTTGTGGACCTATGGAATAGTTGAAAAGGTGGACTACAGAGCTGATTCTGTAACTGGTTTTGAATTTTTTTTTCTTCTCTGTTCTCACTTTAGTAAGCATATAGCATTTCTTCTTTATATGTTACCTCTTAGTGGAAAGATGAACTGTGGCAAGAGGAAAAGGGAGCAAAGCTGTGAAGCAACAGCGATTTTTACTGCTATTATGAGAAAAATATATGTAGGCTTTCTTGTAACAGAGGAAAAGCACTACAGTACCTTGAGTTGAAGACTCAAAAAACAGTGGAGACTGAAGGGCTTTTCAGAGAAAAGATGATATGGTTTCTTTGTCAGATAATTCTCCTTTCTTACGATAGAAGTGTTAGTGTTCCAGGAATCCTATATATATGATGAAAGCATTAATTCAGACTAATAAAATGGATGGTTTTCTTTGTACCAAATCAGCCTGTCATCCTAAAAGAAGCTCACTTTTTTTTTTCCTTAGTTCCCATAAACCATAATCCTCATTCCCAGAAAAAAAAAAACCTCAAGAAATGCTGTCCCTCTCCTGTCACTGCTTTGGCAAATGCATTCTGCAGCATATTTTGCATGTTAACAGATTCAGGCTGTTCCAGACTACAAGATGGAGAGCTAATTTCAAAACTGAGACCCCCTGAAATTGTACTCTTGTAATATTCAGTCTTTCCCAGCCCTCTGTTTCACAGTGGGAACTCCTGTGCCTCTGTCGACTTAAACCATACTGGTCTCATTGTGAGCAGAAAAGACCTGCCAGGTAGATGCATCCCAGTCATGCATTATTTTATAAAATAAAATTGTCTTGGGTCTTGCTTTTGTGGTGGAAGGGAAGATGGATTCTTATTGTGCGTTAGACATAAAAGATAACACTTTTTCTTCTCCGTGGCCCAGAAAAGATGCATCCATGCTTATATGGAGTAAAAGCAAATGGCAAAATGCTTCCTATGTTGATGGCATTATTTTTGGGTCTATAATGTGTCTGACATTTTTGTACCAGCTCTAATTTTGCATGTCAAGATGCCCTGAATGGAGTCTGTAACACTCAAAATTTCACACACCAGGAAGGTGAATGATTGTTACATGACCTGCACCCTGTTGCGAAGAAGGATAGCCTTTAACCAGGTGTAGTTTGATAGAAGTGAGAGAATCCATTTTGTCATTCTATCTGTATTCGAGTGTAATGATTCTAAGATTTCATATGAAGAAGAAAAGATGTTTTGTATTATTAGTATCTAAATTGAGAATAGTTTGTTAGAAAGACGAGAGAGAGAGCTTTCTAATTAAATGTCAAATATTTTAGTACCACTTTTGAATTTTTCACAAAGTTAAATATGAAACTGTGTTCAGAAGCTTTCAGAACAAGTATGTACTCTGAAACGGGAGACTGTTGCATTAATTTCACAGGAATAATACCAGCATCTACGTAGCTGCCTGTTTTGTGCTGTTGTGGCTTGTGATTTTCTAAAGTTTTTAATATGTGCTTTTTAAGGATAATACTTTAATTGCATATTTTTATTTCATTTTTAAGTCTTTATTGTTTTGGTTCCTTAGCCATGAATCAGCGGATCAGCCAAAGTGCTCCGGTGAAACAGCCACCTCCTCTGGCTCCACAGAGTCCCCAGGGAGGTGTGATGGGTGGGAGTAGCTCCAACCAGCAACAACAGATGAGACTTCAGCAGCTGCAGATGGAGAAGGAAAGGCTGAGACTGAAGCATCAAGAACTGCTTCGGCAGGTGAGGCCACAGGTTAGACACCTACTTCCACTATTTCTTTTATATGTTGTGTTTTGTTTTTGGCTAAGTTGTTGCTTCAGTGAGTCTAAAGACGAGTGACTGTATAAAAAGCTCTGAGATCTAAAAAGGTCTGAATTAATTCGGTTACTGATTCCAGCGTGGTAGTGAAAGCATCTGACTCACCAGACAGAAGGATTTTGCTTTCCTCCCTCATACCTCTCTAACAAAACTCTCTGAGAAGAGGCATCTTTACTATTAGGATGACATCATGGACCGTTGATCTGATTGGATATTCCTCTTGAGAATATATTTCATATTTATTGAGTTCTGAGTCATGCAAAAAGGGAAGAAGATGGTACCCACCGCTGTTTTAGTTGTCTCTTTTAAGTGGAGGAAACTGTTTCACTTTTAGTACCTGTGATAGTCTCTAGGGTTACAAAGTAATTTTGAGGTTTATCTAAGGTACACTGAGGAGACACCTTGTTGCTAAAATCTTACCTGTTAAACATCAGGAGTGGAGCATGGAGCAACAGAATCAGTAGTGCTGCGTTTCAAACCCGTGTTTTTCTTATGCTGAAGAATTTAAAGCTTTATTATTCCTTTCAATATTTTTCTGCTATATGACTACAGCTGTAGCAAATGTTAAAAGTGTAGGACTGGACAGTGGAATCTCTGGGTTTTGAATTCGGGCTTGACTTCCTTTTGACTCGTAAGCCTTCCGATTCAATTTTTCCATCTGAATGTTTTAAGAGTTACTACCGTCTGTGCTAGAACCCTAGGATACTCTTCGGCTTTTCGACACTGCCAGAGAAAGCACTAATCTCTTCTTTGAGGAAAACCTTCTAAAATCTTGCCTTGTTGCCTTTTCCCTTTGGGTGATGGGCCTGGTATCAGGAGAGGATAGTATCTTAATGTCCTCAAAGACAGCTTTTCTCTTTCTTCATCACCTGCAGTATTCTGTTCTGGAATCTGACTCCCGTTATCCCCTTTGTAGTCAAGGCCTGTTTTGTAGGAATCTTCAGCATCTCTTGGTGTAAGATGGGTCATCTTTACAGCCGTTACTTTTTATAGCACTCTAGGTAAGAATATATTGCAAAGGTGGCATCAGGACTTTCTCTCTGCTTAAGCACCTGGGCTTCTGCTGTTCCTGCTTCGCAATTAATCCACCAAAAAACATTCTACCCTGTGCTGGCATGCTTCTAGGTAGGCCTTCTAATTGGCTTCTCGCCTCAGTTGTCATCAAGAGCCTGACTAACTTTGGACCAGGTGACAGCCAGTTCTCATCACGTTGTTCTCCCTGGTCGTTAAGCTTACCTGTCAAATACACATCCCTGGTAAATCTGTGAGTTTTGTTTCACTGTGTCATGTTTTTTGTAGTTTCTTAACAACAGCCTTACCCTGTCTCATCTGGCCTGTCTTGGGAGCTTGGTACTGCAAGATGGTGTTTATAAGACAGCCTGCACCGGCAAACCATGCAGCTAAAGTAATTTGTATCCATCTTATTTTTACTCTTAGGCATTGCGGAATATCAATCCCAGCACAGCAAATTCTCCAAAACATCAGGTAGGCTCTTAACTGATGTTCAGCACACTTAGAAAAATGAAAGCATTAAATTAGGCTAGCAGGGGAACTTTTTGCTACATGAAGGCATTCTGGCATAGAAAAACAAACAAAGACCCAAGCTCTGCCATACATGTTTTTGAGCCACTTCTCTGGTCACGACCCTAATGTTGTTTTTAGGAGTGCTGCATTACTACCACTTTATATCGGTATTTAAAAGCAAATGAGGAACTCATTGCACATTTTTCTTCGTTGAAAACAACCTTCTTGTTTAGCATTCTTGAGGATACTGCTGTTCCAGTCCTGATGTCATCAAGATGTGTATTTAAAGCAAATCTCCTATTATATCTAAGGTAGTAGTTTGTGACCTTTAAGTACTGTTTGTATGAATGTTCTTATCAGTTTGTTTAAACAGGTATGATCTTAAAGAAGGATATCTGTAATCAGTTAATAAAAAGTCACTTGAAATACTTACGATTTTTAAGCATCTACAGTGTTAGCAGAATTATTTAATAGATTAGACTGACAACGTAATTGCTATGGGGATATATTATGTACTTACTCCGTTTTGACATTTAACACGTTCCTGCACAGTTACATTTTCTGTATAGGAAACAACAATTCTGAAAAGCCTTCCAAGTTCAGACCAAAATGTGAAGCATAATAAACAGTTTAATTCAGGCTTTTAAAAAGTTAAATATGGAATGAATCTCTGAAAGGGTGGATTTATGGATATATTCAGAAAGCTTCTTGCTTGCTTATTGCTAACAGTATTCTTAATCTGCTGGGTCTTAGGACAATGTTTATATTGACTTGCATTGTACTTTATTTTTCTGACAAAAACCACTATACGCACTAGACAAGAGAAACAGAATAAAAGAAAGTATCCTGTACTGAGCACTGGTGTACTATAGCATTCTGAAGAGTTATCACAAAATTTTTGTGTTAATAGTTCTCATGAGAAGATCATCTTCAGAATGGGAATCTCAGACCTTAGAAACAGTACTGACACCCTGGAAAAAGTACTTTGTTGTTTGGCAATATCATTACAGTTCTAAAATGGAAGCATTTTAATTGAGATGTAATCATTTGATTCATTTACAAAACATTAAACACAGAATGATCTCATTGACCAGTATTAGATCCTGTTTTACAGAGGAGAAAAATCCTTAAGAATTACTGGTATACAAGGGAATAAGTAGAGAAGGACACTCCTCCACACTAGTTGGAAACACCTTATCTTCTGCCATAATTAGGTCATTCAGAAGGGATATTTTTCTTACTGAATGCCACAAGCGTATTCTATGTTTTCTTGTATGCATGAAGCCCTGTTGTACAACTGTTCACTCTTCTAGAGTAACTTCTTCCTGTTGCCAACTCAGAAATACACAGCAAAAGGAGAACCTTGGGATCAGTCTTGTACTTACTAAGTTCAGATTTTTGGAGCTTCTTGAAATTCTAGCTTAAAATACTAAAGCTGTGTAAACTCAAGCAGACCTTACTGATAATTCACTAAATGTATATGTAGTGGTCACTCTGCTTTGTTTGGAATGGGAACTACTGAAAGGATTTATGCAAAAATCAGGATTCCAGTTACATTTCGACTGGTTTCATACCAGGCTCACCTGGATACTCACCTGCCTAGGATCAGTTTTATTAGTCTGCACTTGCTGGTGAGTCAAACTGTGTTCGAGTGATCTGGTGGATAGAAGAGAAGGCAATCGTGTCAACTTAAAAGTTCTGTAATACCAGACTAATCATGTTGTATCATCTAAATGTATATTTTTTGTATGTTTTCCTGTGTCACAGCCACATGTGGAAGAAGGTGCTTGGAGAACTGCTTATGGAAATTGTTCCCTAAATGCTTCTTGAGGCTTTTTATTAGAGAGGCAAATGTTGTCTGCGTTCTCCAATGATGCTATTATTGAAATCCCAGTCTGTACATCTTATCTGGTCATAGTCAACCTAATGAATCTGTGAAAAGTGTGTAGAAAGAACAAACATTTCTTTAGTCAACTTTTTGGTTTTGCCAGATCCTTTCATTCCTTTGTGAATAAAATTGATGAAGTTTAGAGGAATCATCTGCTTTCATGATGATAAAGCTGTTCGTAAGGGGAAGAATAACAGCTTCTCTTGCTAAACTTTGGATATTCCTTTAAGGACTACTGAAAATAAAATCTTCATATGTTCAATGCTCTTAATTCTGGGAAGACTTAAGTCTAGTTTAGAGAGAAATTGTCAAGGTCTTGCATTTGTAAAGAAATTGCATGACACCAGCATTCTTGAAGCTTGCCTCTAATTGAAGTATCTCTTTTATACGGATTCAAAAAATGAGAACTGTTTCTTAACTTTTAACTGGTTGTCTGAGCTTTTCTTAATCACAGAATAAGATAGGTTGGAAGGAACTGGCAGAGGTCATCTAGTCCAACATCCTGCATCAAGCCCAGCTTCCTCTGCCCTCTTGACATTGTCCATGTAACCTGGATGCAGTGCCATGGGTGTATTGGTATCTTTGGTCAGGGTTTTTTCGTACTGAGTCAACACTGTATCCTTGTTGGCTTTTATTTCTCTGCCACAATACTGTGGTATCCTGTAGTGACACTAACACTCAAAACGGTATGTATGGAGGCCTTAGCACTTAAATACCTCCTGGAGAGATTAGACAATTGCTCAGCTTCATCTTTTTTAGAAAGTACTGTAAAAACCTCTTGTTTAAATTAAGATATATTTTATTATAATTCTAAGAAAGTCCAAGTCAAAGGTATTTGAAACAAAAATTGTAACTTCCATATTTATTGTGTACAACGAGCGATTGATACATCCAGGGAATCTGAAAACACCAAGCATCTGTCCAGTTACTTACACTCATCATCATCAGTTATCTGTGAACACCTTAAAGAAGCCTACCTGTCTTCATTAAGAGATGAAGTGTCTCGACTTTCTCTTCATCCCCAGTAACTCTCCTTCCATTTTCCTGCAATTAACGTCTTGTCAACAATGTCTCACCCCAAGCTGATGTCAGTCAGTATAAATTATAAAATTGGCCGGATATTAGGTAACAGATTTCTTCCCTCCCAGTATATGATGGAAAGAGATAGACGCCAATGGTACTGAGGTATGCTGAGCGCATTATTCTTGGATGTTGTGCAGACCACTGTCTTGTGCTACACAGCTGCTCACATTGTAAAGTTCCTCTGTATATGCTTGCACGTTCTGTATCTGCTGCTTGTTCCCAGCACTGAGTGCAGATCGCTGTGTGAGGACTAGAGGTAGTGCTGCTCCCATCAGTTGGGCTTTTCAGCTTTCCTTTCTGTTATCTCTCTGCTGCTTTCTTGGTAGTTCAGTGTACTGGGAGTGTCCTCTCTGATCATTGTCTCCATTCTTTTGTCTTTTATATTTTATGAAGAACCCCTCATATTCTCTCTCTTGTTGTCCTGGACTTTCTTATCAATTTTTGAGTGACATTCTGGAAATTCCTCTACTCAGTGAAGAATCTGCAGACATATGGCCAGTCTGTCATCTGGGTTTTTTTCATATTTTACTCATATTTGCTCTTACTGCATAAAATGTAAATGCTTACGGTACTGAATAGTTGCTGGGTTTGAAATATTATTTTAGTTTCCTACGATTCCTTTTTTTTAAAGTTCGTCTTGGCGTTTGACAGCTTTTATCAGCTTGGTCACAAAGATTTCTTAGGACACTTATTATTTTTCAACAGAAGATTTTTTCAGACGCTTTGTATACCAATGTACACCAATACAGAGCCATGTTGCTGTCAGATTTGCAACATTTTCTAGAAAGTAAAGAAGGCATCACTGAAATCAATTACAGTCTTCAAATCTGTCCTCTTGAACTTCTGTGATGTTAGTGAAGCTGGGAGTTTTACTGAGGTCTTAGATTTGGGTTTGTTGTTGGGGTTTTTGTCCTTCCCTGTAATGCGTCTTTAAATAACAATATATACTGGTGTTCAAATCTTAGTGGAAATGGTGGGCAGTAATTATTTTAGTTTCTTGGTGAATCCCAGTGTTGTCCCTTGAATCTCTAATTTCCCATATTACCCATCCCTCTGTGTTATCTGGAGCTAGATTAACAAGGTAAATGACTGGTTTTGTCAAGGGTGTTCATGTTGTGGGGTGGTGGTGGTAGTTTTTGGTTGTGTGATTTTGATGTTTTGGTTTCGTCTGGTGTTTGGTTTGGGGTGGTTTTGGTGGCGGTGGTGGTTCGGTTTTTTTGGTTTTTTTTTAACAAAAAGTACTGAAGCCAGCCATTTGGTCTTTGAATATGGCTTATTTGACTAGTAAAGTTATATGACCACTGGCATACAGAAACATTTTTGAAAATTATGTTTACAAGGTGCAGGAAGAAATTAACAAGTTGCAGCAAATTCATAGATGTACTGTGCTGCTCGCTTTTAATTTGCCTTATCGCTTGTTTTTTATAAATAATATGGTCTGTCATATGTCTTATTCTGAAAAGATCCATTATGTGAAAAGTTTTGGGGACGGCTAGCTAAGACACTGAGGAGTCTTTCAGGAATTTTTTTCCTATTCTAAGTTTTTTTCTTCTAATTGAACTTTCTTTTACCAATAGTCACAAGTAACACCTTCTCATTTTAGTGGAAGTAAATACTGTATTTTTCCTTCTGTTGTGTTTTAATCACTTGATAGCTCTTTTTACAAGTACTTTATCCCTTGTGGTTTAAGTTTTCTGTGAGATGTTTCTTTTGCACAACAAACAGAAATTGTTACTGATTTCCTGCTCTCCAAAATCAGTAACAAAATATTACCGGAGAAATGTTACGCAGATGAGGGAGCTGAGCAGCATGTACAACATCGTACATCGCAGAAATCAATTTTGTATGCGTTTATCTCAGTTTTCACTGAACGCTTTTTATATTATTGTTAGCAGGAATATTTTACTTTACGAGGGAATGAGCTGTTGTTGTTCACTAGACTGACTTGCAAAAATCTTTGTAATTAATGAACTGACTTCTTTAGTCTATG